TATTTTTTCCCAATCTGTAGGTTCTCTTTTGACTCTTTTGGAGAAGTCTTTGGAAGCACATAAAAATTTAATTTTTAGAAGGTCCCAATCATCTGGCTTTTCTTAGTAGATTGCCTTTTTATGTGCTTCCAACCAGAAGGGGCAGGTCAACCAGATCACTTTTCTCTGAGGTCCTGCTTTTGTAATCAGAGATTGATTCCTTCATAGTGAACCTTATCTTTCATCTCTGGTTCTTTTACTTTTATGAAAGGACTATATTAAGTTACTAATATTCAGTGTAATGTGCAAATGGCCCTAGCCTTGATTTTCATGTATGTAGAACCCTTTGGTTTCCTGGCTATTTTATAATAAAAGAAAAAAAAATATTTCTTCATTGTCTTATAATAGTGTAAAATTTGTGAAAGCCCTTATAGAATACTTGCCACTGGAATTTACAATGGGTACTCAGATATATTTATAAAAAATACTTAAGAGAAATTAAATGGAATGTGGCTCTTCTTTCTTCAGACATTTATTCTTGTGTTCTGAGTAAGAAAATCCATGTGTCCTAAATGTTAAGAGAAAAAAATGGTTAAATTGATTCAGTTGTGATTAATCCCATGCTATGCCCAGAAGGCTCAAAATGTATTTGCTGAACAAATGAATTGTTTAGGACATTGATTTATTACTTAATAAAAAGTCTTGAAGTTTTTTCATGGCACTGGAATAAGCAAATTTACTTTGTCCTTCACAACCATATTGGAGTTTTGATACTATTTTTCTCTTGGAAATGTAAAAATGTCAGGAAGATCTTTGCTTCTTGAATTACCTATCAGAACTCAACTAATAGCTTATTGATTAAGTACGGAACAGATGGTACCTAGCGCATATTGACTGTGAACATGTCTTTATGGATATTCTCAGAAGCACAGGTATCGGTTGTCACTTTTCATTAGTTCACTTTGGTCAGTCACATAGTTGTTAAAAAACATCCTGATTTTACTCCTTGACCAGTAATAAATTGTTGTTGTTGTTGTTATTTGCCATCGAGTCGACCCCGACTCATAGCGACCCCTCCTTGGGTTTCCGAGGCAGTATCACTACGGAAGTAGGATTGCCCAACCTTCCTTCCGAGGAGTGGCTGGTGGGTTTGAACTGCCAGCTTTCTGGTTAGCAGTCAAGTGCCTTTGGCACTATGCTACCAGATTAGCAGACATCTATTTAAAGTACCTCTTTTGTATTCATTTCAGTGCTTACATCCTTTAGGGAATTACAAAGCAAAAGTAGTAACTATCCTTTTGGAATTGACCTTCAGGAACTCAAAGCCCTGTTTTTTTATCAGTTGAATAATTTTATCTTTTCTTTAAGGTGTCCTACACACATCTGTGGTCCTCCTCACAGAAATGTGTGAGCGAAGCCCAGACATGCTTGCACATTTTAGAAAGGTAGGTGTCATTCTGTGTGCCTAAACTTTTCTTGATTGAAAAATGATTTTCCTGAAAAGTACATGGTTTTCTCACTTAAGAGTTTCCTTTTTGAAAGCAAGCTATGGAACTAAACAGAACCTTTATCTAGTCCTGCTGTGTGGTAGGGCTGGAAGCCAGATTTGGGCATATATGAACTGACAGTAGTAAGTGATTTCCCTTCATAATAGAAGTCGCTCGTTGTTGGCAGACACACCAATCTGTCACGTGCTTTTTCTGATGTTTTCACATTGAAGTCAGGAAATGTAACCTGAGGTCAAATTACAAAGAAGAATTGTGTATGTGTGTTTTTTAAAAGACAGGTCATGTCTTTCCTTTTTCTTTCGTTCTTTTTTTTTTTTTAAGGTTAACACTAAGCTGAAATTTGACCTTTATTACTTTTACCTAACCCAGGATCCCCTCTGTTCCTAGGGGGCCATTAACTCTTGCAATGGAAGTCTTTAGCTTTCTTATCCACCCTTCTTTTTTACTATTGTTCTACAGTGGACATTTCTGTTTTCTCCTTTATTTTTAGAAGGCAGTAGTGAGAAAGACTTTTTTTTTTTTTTTTGGATAGTTACATGTGTTTAATTTCTTTTATAGGCTATTGATCACTCTGTAAATGGGGCTCACTGTATAGTTGAGGTCTAATGAGCCTTCAATAGCAGTTCCTTTTTTTATCTTAACTTTTCTTAGGTGTTCATGTCTTGACTGAATTATTGTAAAATAGTTTCAGAGCCGTATCTGTCCCTAATGCTTGCTTTGTATGTTTTGTTCCTGTTGTCTGTTTGGAATCCTGCTGTATGTTAGAATGAAAAGGTAAGAATTAACCCTCTTTTAGTTGGTGCATGCTGGCATTAGGTCTTTAGTAGCTTTTGTGTATTCATCCACAAATGTGGCTTTTAAAAATACACTAATGCTAAAGCTATGCTTAATACTATTTTTGTTCTACCATTTTTGGCTAACTCCCAGTCCAGTTTTGTCTTGTCACTTAAACTCCTGACTCCGAAGTCAGCCTTGGATTTCAGTTGCAGCCTGTCTTGAATTGTAAGCCTCCTTCTGTGCCTCTCCTTTATCGTCACTTGAGAGACTTTAGCGGTTTCCCAGTGTCTTTGCTGGTGGCACTTCTAGATCAGTCTGGGTCACTGACACAAAACGCTGCTGATTTTTTAAGTAGACATTTTTGAGCCGTATGTGGGTAACCTCATACTTAAAACAAGCTTTGTATGTTCTTCTGAGCTCTCAGCTCAGACTTGGAGCTTTTGTTTCTCCTATACTTGTGCTTAATCTTGCCTAGAAATTTTGGAGTATTAAAAGGATTTGAGGTGGAGTGGGTGGGCACCAACTGATTTTCATGGCTGCAGCCTTTCCCTCTGTCATCTTACTTTGTTTGTCCTGTCACCAGTTTTAGTAACTTACATTTTTGTCTGAAAAATAAGGCTGGGTTCCAAGAATTTGTATGCTGAACATGTGGACATTTATGCTTCCTGTCTCAGGGTGATGTGATGGGATGTGCTGGTCTGTTGGTAGTGAATAAAGCAATTTCTGCGTTTTAGTAGCCCAAGGAAAAAGGAATGCTCCAAGAAATAAACCAGATTTAAAGAGCTAATTAGGGATATGTATAGTACAGAAAAGCAGGCCGTTGGGAAGTTTGCAAGGTGAGCTGCTTTTTGTGCAGAGCTTGGTAACTAGATGGTCTTAGTTTTATTGCACCACTTTACAGCAGTTTAAAAAATTATGTTTTTGATTTCATCTGATATAAATCTCCTCATACAGTTGACGGATTTCATGAGGATTCTGTTTACAATTTATAGATGTCCCTGGCTTAGATTTGTTTTAATCTTGGAGTTCTCTGAATTAGATTTTTGTTTTAATGACTTCTGAATCATTTAACGCTGAAGTTTATGGCCAAGCTTAATGAAATTTACACAGATTATGTTCTTTTGTATTTGGAAATGGCCTTAATGTTGTGAATGTTTTGACTGCACGCCTTGGGCATAGCTTGGCTTTTATTTTATTTTTTTGGCATTTGAATTTTATTCCCCTTTTAGAATTGGGGTATGGGAGAGGGAGACAGAGTCTGAATACAATGAGAAAAAATCAAGTTGCAGCAGAATTGAGGCTTATACACTGCCTCCTAAAGAGGTGCCATTGCCTCCTACAGACATGCCATTCAGTTCAGCTTTGAATACTACTTTACTTAATTTCAGGCCGGTAGAGTTGTCTATATAACTAAATTGGGTTTTCCTTTGGAGAATGGAAAAGTTCCTAATGTGGCAAGCAGTTTGGAGTAGGTTTTAAACATCAAGTGATTGATAAACAGAAATGAATGCTAATTGAAAGCATCTGTAAATTTGGCTTGGCGATAAAGTTGCCTACTATGTCCTGTGACATCAGTTGACAAAGGAAGGACAAGAAGGGAATTCTGAGCATATGGAATGTGTCGTCTCATTAGTACGATAAGACAAGGAAACAGGCAGCAAATCAGTGAAATTAAATTTTACTGAAAATAATGTCATAGGCTTAAGCATAGGGAAAAGATTCATGACCCTGTTGTCTTCTTAAAGTAAAAGATTAAAATTCTTGATTATTTTTTTTCCACTCAGAAAAGTGAAGATACTGTAAGCTTTTGTATTCCCTATTGTTTGTTGAAAAAGAACATAACTGGCTCTATCTGAAGGAGAGAGAGTGGTATGCTTTGCTTGTCGTAAGATTACAAGTTATTTTAGGTGTGATAACATTTTATACCCAAACGTTTGGATGGTCAAAAACTGAACATGTTTGTGTCACTTAAGTATGCCATGTTTCTTCTGAAGTAGGAATGCAATATGCCTCATAGATACTTGTTTTACTTTGCTCCCATAGACTTTCTGACTCACTGTTACTTGTAATACTATTCTATCTGTAACTCTGGAATAAAGTATGGTTTGTTTTTATCCAGATAAAATACATTCTTTCTTGAGTTCTTTGGCCTAAGTGCTCCCAAGTTATATTTATCAAACATCAGCAATATACTAGTATATTGTATGAACAGAATTTGCTTGGACTCAGACTCTTGCACCCTTTTTCCAAACCCAAGGACCTGCTTGTTCCTGAGTCATTATGTGATACTCACTGGTTTTTGATGCATCTTTGTTTTCTGCAGCTTGTGCCCCAACTAGTCCGAATTCTGAAGAACCTCATCATGTCCGGATATTCACCAGAACATGATGTTTCTGGTATCAGTGACCCTTTTTTGCAGGTGAGGTTGAAGAGAAAGTTTTGGATAAATAACATATGAATTCAATTTCTTTTGAGTAGCCCATTGTCTTCCCCTTAAGTTTGTGTGGAAATCTGATAGTTAATTGATTAATTATGTAATAAATAGAGACACAATTCTATTTAGGTTAATAGAATAGAGTTAAGAGTTTTTATAATCAAAATTATTTACTATATAGGCAGACATGAGGTAGCAATGTAATGTAGCTTTGTTTTAATCATTAGCTATGGAGTGCCAAGGGAGCTTTGATAGCGTAGTGCCTAAGGTACTTGACTGTTAACCAGAAAGCTGGAGGTTCAAACCCACCAGCCACTCCTTGGAAGGAAGGTTGGGCAATCTGCTTCCATAGTGATACCACCTCGGAAACCCAAAGAAAGGTCTCTATGAGTCGGGTCTGACTCGACAGCACGTAACAACAACAACATGGAGTGACAAAGTAGGGGTTGTCTGACTTCATTAAGACATGTTGTTGCATGCCATCAAGTTGGTTCTGACCCGTAGCAGCTCATTCTGACTCATAAGATCCCTAATGGCACAATGGTTAAAGTGCTGTGCTGCTAACTGAAAGGTTGCAGTTTGACCTCACTAGCTGCTTCACAGGAGAAAAGACCTCATGATCTGCTCCCATAAACATTTCAGCCTAAGAAACCCTATGGGGTAGTTCTGCTCTGTCCTATAGGGTTGCTAGTAATCATAGAAACATGTAGAGTCTCTCTAGAGATAGATAAAGTTTAAAGTTCTGCTAGATTCTTGACCATTAGTGGGATCTGTGGCTTCATTTAAGTTACTTTCATTTTATATCACATGAGGTTCCTTGGTACCCATCCAAATTTGTTGATGTTTATCATATTTTGCACATTAGGTACGAATTTTGCGGTTATTAAGAATTTTAGGACGAAATGATGATGACTCAAGTGAAGCTATGAATGATATATTAGCACAGGTGAGTGAACCAAGCTTGCATCACATTAAATCTTCATTTTAATATAGCAGGGAGTAGAATGACTGTAGGTATACTGGGCAGATTTTATTTAAGTTTGCTCATTGGTGGCTACAGTCATAAAATATCTCTTGTTACCTCTGGATATTTTTTCGGAATCCCCATTCTGTCACTAATGTACTGCCGTTTGTGTCTTTTCAGGTTGCCACTAATACAGAGACTAGTAAAAACGTAGGAAATGCTATTCTTTATGAAACAGTTTTGACTATCATGGATATTAAGTCAGAGAGTGGACTGCGAGTAAGTCTTTCAGACATTTTTCCCTCTTTGCATTTCATTTAGAATGATTGACTTGATTGTTATTTCTTTGGAACTAGATTCCATTTCAAAATTGACTTTAGGATGTTATAGGGCTATATTTTTGCTATTTGAAGTATCATTCTCTCTCATTGAAAGCTTAATATTATTACAAGTTTGGAAGATCCTAGGTGTACTTTGATATATAAATATTATTGAGTGTAGGAAACATTGCAGAATAAGCTTTTATTAGACTAGAACCAGAGTTTGAGTTGTGTTTATCATTTCAACCAAGGTATCATATTTGAGGTTTTCTTTTTTTTAATCAAATATTTGTTTTTATTCAAGAAATAAGCGCATAGAGTAATAAACTCAAATAATACAAAAAGTACACAGGAATAAAATATCTGACTGGTAGCTGTCATGTGAAGACCCTCAGTTCGTCTTAATCCTTTGGTTAAGGAAATAGTTACCATTTTCTAATGTATTTTTCCAGAGATGTTTTACCCATATTTAAATGTGTCTGTGCTTGTGTGTTTATTCTTCTCATTCACACTATTTGAAAATTTATTAGAAATAATTTTAGACTTTTACTGAGTTGCAGGACTTACGGGAATATTGTAAAAATAGCTCAGAAAATTCTCATATCCTCCCTTCACCCCATTTCCCCTAATACTAACATTTTGCAAAACTAAGAAATTAACATTAGTGTTAATTATATTATAGACTTTATTCAGCTTTCACCACTTTCTCTGCTGATACCTTTTTCTGTTCCAGGAGCCAATCCATGGTTCCCCATTGTATTTCATTGTCCTGTCTCCTTAGTCTCCTCCATTCTGTAACATTTTTTAGTCTTTCCTTGTCTTTCATGACTAATACTTTGAAGAGTATTGGTTAATCACTTTATAGAATGTCTCCAGCTTGGATCTGCCTCATGTTTTTCTCATAAAAAGACTGAGGTTACACTTTTCTGGCAAGAGTACCACAGGAATGCTGTGCCTTTCCATTGTATCGTATGTGTATAGTTGTCTTGCTACTGGTGAAGTTCACCTTGATTATCTGGTTAAGATTATGTCTGCTGTGTCCTCCATAGTAAAGTAATTTTTTTTCCCTTTGCATTTAGAAATATTTTCAGAGAGACACTTGCAGACTATGCAAGTATCTTAAATTTATCCATACTAATTTTATCATCCATTAGTGAATCTTGGCTACAGCAGTTACTAGGATGGTGTTTTTTGTTTTTTTTTTAATTAGGATTTGGGTGAAGATTTACAGAGTAAATTCACTTTTCATACAGCAGTTCACATATACTTTGTCTCATGTCATTGACCAAAATTT